CTTGTGTTTCCCTCTCGCTCTTTTGCTCTCTCGATCAGTTCAACCCTCCACGATTTGCTATATAAGTAGGTAGCAGACGCGCCGAACGTTCACTGTGTTTTAGTTTCAGACGTGAAGTGAACAGAAGTGAATTGAAAGCGAAAACTGAAAATGGCTCGTACCAAGCAAACCGCTCGCAAATCGACTGGTGGCAAGGCGCCACGCAAACAACTGGCTACTAAAGCCGCTCGTAAGAGCGCCCCAGCCACCGGAGGCGTGAAGAAGCCTCATCGCTATCGCCCCGGAACTGTGGCCCTGCGTGAGATCCGCCGCTACCAGAAAAGTACCGAGCTGTTGATCCGCAAACTGCCTTTCCAGCGTCTGGTGCGTGAAATCGCTCAAGACTTCAAGACTGACTTGCGATTCCAGAGCTCGGCGGTGATGGCTCTGCAGGAGGCTAGCGAAGCCTATTTGGTTGGTCTCTTTGAAGACACCAACTTGTGTGCCATTCATGCTAAGCGAGTCACAATTATGCCCAAGGACATTCAGTTGGCCCGTCGCATTCGCGGCGAGCGTGCTTAAGTTGAGACGGCTTCAAGTGGCAGCAATGCGCTTTATTTTGTACAAATCGGTCCTTTTCAGGACCACAAAAAGTACTCAATGAGATTAGATTTTCATTTTTTTTTTATTATTAAAATTTATTGAATATTTATTTAAATTTTTATTTTAATTATTGAATATTTTAAGGTTTACTTTCTAACACCTATCGTAAAAATGGATTTCATTTTTTTTTGATAACCAGCCTAAGGAAATGTTTTTTTCAGTCTTAATATTTATCACGGTAAGGTAGCATAGAACAACAACGAACCACCTTGGGCTCTACACACCCTTAAAAACATCGAAAAACTGTTAAAAAACTTTCTGAAAATAACTCGAAAAAACATCAATAAGCTCTTTATTACTTAAAAAAAAAAAAAAAAAAATATACAAAAATTATAAATTTTCTATTTAAAGGTGAAATGTTAATTCTTCACTGCAGTAAACAAGATTAGGTTTTGTTGAACAACCACGAACTACCGTGGATCTCTAACATCTTTGAAAAATCAAAAAAATATTTTGAAAACCTTCTGAAAAGTTAGTTTGTGAGGAGTTTATTTGTTAAACGAGATTAGAAATGCTAAAAATAAACTAATTTATATTTCATATTAATAGCGACACATAGTGTGTAGTAGCAAGTTGCAACTTCATTGTACTTCAAACACCATTCAAAAATCGAAAAAGGGTAAAAACTTTATAAAAATTAGTCAGATAAGTTTATATTCGCTCTATTTGTTACATAAAACATAAAATGCTTTGGAAAATATTAAAATTAGATTTTATATGAAGAACTGTAAAGAGAACATTTTTTGAAGTGGTACTATTGGTACACGAAGCGTAACAGATTTTAAACATCCTTAAAAAATCGAAAAACTTTTGAAAACCTTAAAGAAAAAATTCAGACATGTTAACGAGTCTTTTATTTATTTAACAAACAAAAACTACAATGGAAACAGTTAAAATATTTTTTTTTTTTATGTTAACTTGACAGTGACCCTAATCATGCCTTTGTATAGGATACAAGGGAAGCCATCTTGGATAAACCGTTTATAATAATGTTTTAAATCAAGTCTGTATTGAAGCATATTCATGATATTTTGAAGATAAAAACAAATACCTTAACAATTTTAAAAGATTTATATTTTTTTAATTCCTAAAACTATTGCCTGACGTATTCTCATAGACTACTTTTTATGTAGCATAAGGTCAAACTAAAACGTGTTATAAAATACCTTAACTTAAGAAATGTGGTTATTTGTGAATTGATTCTTAAAGTTAAAAGTTTAAATTTTCCTTTGTGTTATTTAATATTAATATATTAGAAAGAATTCAAATTAAAAACTATGTTTTTAAATAAAATGCTCATGTTACGTATGTCAATGTTCAAGTTCGAGCTGTAATAAAAATGCACTAAAACTAGACATTACAATTTTTACATTTCTAATTGCTTAATGGAATATTTGGGCATACAACAGAACAAAAACATTAATTGAATTTAAGACCTAAACGAACAAAATAAAAAAAATAAGTTTTTACTTCAAGCAAACATTAGCAGAGCAAATGACTGATTGCATACCCAGAGTTGAAGTGCTCTCCTCCTCGCTTCTCATTCGAACGAACGAGGTCGGCAACAAACGCGCGCGCCATTTTCGAAGCAAAAAAGTGTATTTTAGTGAAGAAAAATGTCTGATTCTGCAGTTGCGACGTCCGCTTCCCCAGTGGCTGCCCCACCAGCGCCAGTTGAGAAGAAGGTGGCCGCCAAAAAGGCTTCTGGATCCACTGCCGCAAAGGCAAAGAAGGTCGCCGTGCCACCATCTCACCCACCAACACAGCAAATGGTAGACGCCTCTATCAAGAACTTGAAAGAACGTGGCGGCTCGTCTCTTCTTGCAATTAAGAAATATATCACTGCCACTTACAAATGCGATGCCCAGAAACTGGCTCCATTCATCAAAAAGTATTTGAAATCTGCCGTGGTCAACGGAAAACTGATCCAAACAAAAGGAAAAGGTGCGTCTGGTTCATTTAAACTATCGGCCTCCGCCAAAAAGGATCCCAAGCCTAAAGCTACGTCTGCTGAAAAGAAAGTGAAAAGCAAGAAAGTAGTCGCCAAGAAGGCCGGAGCTGGAGCCACCACTAAGAAAGCTGCCGGAGCTGCTGAGAAGAAGCCCAAGGCAAAGAAGGCTGTGGCCACCAAAAAGACCGCCGAGAAAAAGAAAACCGAGAAGGCAAAGGCGAAGGATGCCAAGAAAACGGGAACCGTTAAGGCAAAGCCAGCAGCAGCAGCAAAAGCCAAGTCTACTTCAGCAAAGCCAAAGGCAGCCGCCAAAGCACCAAAAGCCAAGCCGGCGGCTTCTGCCAAGCCCAAAAAGGTGGTGAAGAAGGCAGTTGCTCCCGCTACCGCTAAAAAGCCGAAAGCAAAAACAACGGCAGCCAAGAAATAAACTGCGTACACGCTCCATGTCGCTGTACAGTCGCAATTTCAGATTTCGAAATCTGAGATTCATTTAAACAAGCCCTTTTCAGGGCTACAAACAACTAAGTCTTTAAGAGAAATAATCTTTCAATTCGACATTTTAATGTCATATATTATTAATTGTTTATTGCGTTTTGCTATTGTCTGTTAAATTAAATTTACTGATCTTCGCAGTGAGCACCATAATGTTTATCAACATTATAAGAAAGTCAATAAAATCAGACTTTGGTACTGGCAAAGATTAATCAGATTAGTCTGAAGATCAAATAAAACAAAAGAAAAGTCCAACTTATATTAACATGTTATATATTATCTCCTTGGCAGGAATTGCTGAAAAATTGAATATTGAAAATGTACTTTCTTTGGTAAACATTTTTGTGGCCCTGAAAAGGGCCGTTTTTGATATTTCTACGCATCCATAGCGAGAGAAAATTACTTGGAGCTGGTGTACTTGGTGACAGCCTTGGTTCCCTCACTGACAGCGTGCTTGGCCAACTCTCCCGGCAGGAGCAAGCGTACGGCCGTTTGAATTTCCCGACTGGTAATGGTCGAGCGCTTGTTGTAGTGAGCCAGGCGAGAAGCCTCGGCAGCAATGCGCTCGAAGATATCATTCACAAAGCTGTTCATGATGCTCATCGCCTTCGACGAAATACCAGTATCAGGGTGGACCTGCTTCAGGACCTTGTAAATGTAGATGGCGTAGCTCTCCTTCCTCTTACGCTTCTTCTTCTTGTCATTCTTGGTAATATTCTTCTGGGCCTTGCCAGCCTTCTTGGCTGCCTTTCCACTTGTTTTCGGCGGCATTTTCTCACTTCACAAACACAGTTCACTGGTTATAATGGGAGCCCAGTTCGTGCGTTCGTCTTATACTTTTTTTCGAACAAACTCTTCGGCCCAAGGCACAATCCACCCCTAAACGAACGCGCTGTCGGTCGAAAAAGTATAAATGTCTGGCCGCCAGCTGCCTGGCTCACAAACATTTGTTTCCCGTGTGAAAAGTGAATTTAGTGAGAAGTAAAGCAAAATGTCTGGTCGTGGAAAAGGTGGCAAAGTGAAGGGAAAGGCAAAGTCCCGCTCCAACCGTGCTGGTCTTCAGTTCCCAGTGGGCCGTATTCACCGTCTGCTTCGCAAGGGAAACTATGCCGAGCGTGTTGGTGCCGGCGCTCCAGTTTATCTGGCTGCCGTGATGGAATATCTGGCCGCTGAGGTTCTCGAGTTGGCTGGCAATGCAGCTCGTGACAACAAGAAGACTAGGATCATTCCGCGTCATCTGCAGCTGGCCATCCGCAACGACGAGGAGTTGAACAAACTGCTCTCTGGCGTAACCATTGCACAGGGTGGAGTGTTGCCCAACATCCAAGCTGTTCTGTTGCCCAAAAAGACCGAGAAGAAGGCTTAAACGTTCTAAAAACGAAGGAGAGCGACTTCGTCATGTACATAACAAAAACCCAACCGTCCTTTTCAGGACGACCAAGTTTTGAACAAAGAATTGTTAAGATTTTCAAATGCATATAGAGATATTATAGAATAAGAATCAGTATTAGCTTTCGCCAATATATTTTTTTTTAATGTTTTTAACTCCGATTAAAATTGGAATACTTCGTTAACAGTGCCACGTGCAAGACAAACAAAAAAAAAACTGATCCAAGGCTCTGTATTGTTAGTAATCGGTAATCATAGCGGAAACTGAACGCATTCGCAGTAGCGTTTAATTAAACATGGCAGTTCCTCAGTACAGTCTGCAAGACACAAAAGCAGCAGCTGCGCAAAATAAAACAGATGTCTGCTTTCAGGCAACAATAATCAAACATTACATTTAAGAGTGCAGTTTAATATTTCCAGTTTTTTTTTTTGAGCATTGGCTATATTAATATTTAAAAAAAGTACATTTAACCAATAAAGACAGATATAATTGAAAATTCATCTCCTTTAAAATATGAATTTGTGGTCCTGAAAAGGACCGATTGATTGCTTATTGATGTACAGGCTGCTGTACGATTTGTTTAACCGCCGAAACCGTACAGGGTGCGGCCTTGCCTTTTCAGGGCGTACACAACGTCCATGGCTGTGACCGTCTTCCTCTTGGCGTGTTCGGTGTAGGTAACTGCATCGCGGATAACGTTCTCCAAAAATACCTTTAGAACACCGCGTGTTTCCTCGTAAATAAGTCCAGATATGCGCTTCACTCCGCCACGACGAGCCAAACGGCGGATAGCTGGCTTTGTAATACCCTGGATGTTATCACGCAACACTTTGCGATGACGCTTTGCGCCACCTTTTCCCAAGCCTTTGCCTCCTTTGCCGCGACCAGTCATTTTTCACTACTCTTTACTATTAACACTGCACGAAACGAAAGTCACTGAAGAACTGACTACAATTTCGACGTGCCCCTATTTATACCTAAACCCAGAAAATCAGAGCGGGTCCGAACGACATGTTGTCTTGCTCTTTGCTCGGCAAACGAGACGCCTTGTGTTTCCCTCTCGCTCTTTTGCTCTCTCGATCAGTTCAACCCTCCACGATTTGCTATATAAGTAGGTAGCAGACGCGCCGAAAGTTCACTGTGTTTTAGTTTCAGACGTGAAGTGAACAGAAGTGAATTGAAAGCGAAAACTGAAAATGGCTCGTACCAAGCAAACCGCTCGCAAATCGACTGGTGGCAAGGCGCCACGCAAACAACTGGCTACTAAAGCCGCTCGTAAGAGCGCCCCAGCCACCGGAGGCGTGAAGAAGCCTCATCGCTATCGCCCCGGAACTGTGGCCCTGCGTGAGATCCGCCGCTACCAGAAAAGTACCGAGCTGTTGATCCGCAAACTGCCTTTCCAGCGTCTGGTGCGTGAAATCGCTCAAGACTTCAAGACTGACTTGCGATTCCAGAGCTCGGCGGTGATGGCTCTGCAGGAGGCTAGCGAAGCCTATTTGGTTGGTCTCTTTGAAGACACCAACTTGTGTGCCATTCATGCTAAGCGAGTCACAATTATGCCCAAGGACATTCAGTTGGCCCGTCGCATTCGCGGCGAGCGTGCTTAAGTTGAAACGGCTTCAAGTGGCAGCAATGCGCTTTTATTTGTACAAATCGGTCCTTTTCAGGACCACAAAAAGTACTCAATGAGATTAGATTTTCATTTTTTTTTTATTATTAAAATTTATTGAGTATTTATTTAAATTGTTATTTTAATTATTGAATATTTTAAGGTTTACTTCCTAACACCTATCTTAAAAATGGATTTCATTTTTTTTTTGATAACCAGCCTAAGGAAATGTTTTTTTCAGTCTTAATATTTATCACGGTAAGGTAGCATAGAACAACAACGAACCACCTTGGGCTCTACACACCCTTAAAAACATCGAAAAACTGTTAAAAAAACTTTCTGAAAATAACTCGAAAAAACATCAATAAGCTCTTTATTACTTAAAAAAAACAAAAAAATATACAAAAATTATAAATTTTCTATTTAAAGGTGAAATGTTAATTCTTCACTGCAGTAAACAAGATTAGGTTTTGTTGAACAACCACGAACTACCGTGGATCTCGAACATCTTTGAAAAATCAAAATAAAAATTTTGAAAACCTTCTGAAAAGTTAGTTTGTGAGGAGTTTATTTGTTAAACGAGATTAAAAATGCTAAAAATAAAAAACTAATTTATATTTCATATTAATAGCGACACATAGTGTGTAGTAGCAAGTTGCAACTTCATTGTACTTCAAACACCATTCAAAAATCGAAAAAGGGTAAAAACTTTATAAAAATCAGTCAGACAAGTTTATATTCGCTCTATTTGTTACATAAAACATAAAATGCTTTGGAAAATATTAAAATTAGATTTTATATGAAGAACTATAAAGAGAACATTTTTTGAAGTGGTACTATTGGTACACGAAGCGTAACAGATTTTAAACATCCTTAAAAAATCGAAAAACTTTTGAAAACCTTAAAGAAAAAATTCAGACATGTTAACGAGTCTTTTATTTATTTAACAAACAAAAACTACAATGGAAACAGTTAAAATATTTTTTTTTTTTTATGTTAACTTGACAGTGACCCTAATCATGCCTTTGTATAGGATACAAGGGAAGCCATCTTGGATAAACCGTTTATAATAATGTTTTAAATCAAGTCTGTATTGAAGCATATTCATGATATTTTGAAGATAAAAACAAATACCTTAACAATTTTAAAAGATTTATATTTTTTTAATTCCTAAAACTATTGCCTGACGTATTCTCATAGACTACTTTTTATGTAGCATAAGGTCAAACTAAAACGTGTTATAAAATACCTTAACTTAAGAAATGTGGTTATTTGTTAATTGATTCTTAAAGTTAAAAGTTTAAATTTTCCTTTGTGTTATTTAATATTAATATATAAGAAAGAATTCAAATTAAAAACTATGTTTTTAAATAAAATGCTCATGTTACGTATGTCAATGTTCAAGTTCGAGCTGTAATAAAAATGCACTAAAACTAGACATTACAATTTTTACATTTCTAATTGCTTAATGGAATATTTGGGCATACAACAGAACAAAAACATTAATTGAATTTAAGACCTAAACGAACAAAATAAAAAAATTAAGTTTTTACTTCAAGCAAACATTAGCAGAGCAAATGACTGATTGCATACCCAGAGTTGAAGTGCTCTCCTCCTCGCTTCTCATTCGAACGAAGGAGGTCGGCAACAAACGCGCGCGCCATTTTCGAAGCAAAAAAGTGTATTTTAGTGAAGAAAAATGTCTGATTCTGCAGTTGCGACGTCCGCTTCCCCAGTGGCTGCCCCACCAGCGCCAGTTGAGAAGAAGGTGGCCGCCAAAAAGGCTTCTGGATCCACTGCCGCAAAGGCAAAGAAGGTCGCCGCGCCACCATCTCACCCACCAACACAGCAAATGGTAGACGCCTCTATCAAGAACTTGAAAGAACGTGGCGGCTCGTCTCTTCTTGCAATTAAGAAATATATCACTGCCACTTACAAATGCGATGCCCAGAAACTGGCTCCATTCATCAAAAAGTATTTGAAATCTGCCGTGGTCAACGGAAAACTGATCCAAACAAAAGGAAAAGGTGCGTCTGGTTCATTTAAACTATCGGCCTCCGCCAAAAAGGATCCCAAGCCTAAAGCTACGTCTGCTGAAAAGAAAGTGAAAAGCAAGAAAGTAGTCGCCAAGAAGGCCGGAGCTGGAGCCACCACTAAGAAAGCTGCCGGAGCTGCTGAGAAGAAGCCCAAGGCAAAGAAGGCTGTGGCCACCAAAAAGACCGCCGAGAAAAAGAAAACCGAGAAGGCAAAGGCGAAGGATGCCAAGAAAACGGGAACCGTTAAGGCAAAGCCAGCAGCAGCAGCAAAAGCCAAGTCTACTTCAGCAAAGCCAAAGGCAGCCGCCAAAGCACCAAAAGCCAAGCCGGCGGCTTCTGCCAAGCCCAAAAAGGTGGTGAAGAAGGCAGTTGCTCCCGCCACCGCTAAAAAGCCGAAAGCAAAAACAACGGCAGCCAAGAAATAAACTGCGTACACGCTCGATGTCGCTGTACAGTCGCAATTTCAGATTTCGAAATCTGAGATTCATTTAAACAAGCCCTTTTCAGGGCTACAAACTAAGTCTTTAAGAGAAATAATCTTTCAACTCGACATTTTAATGTCATATTATTAATTGTTTATTGCGTTTTGCTATTGTCTGTTAAATTAAATTTACTGATCTTCGCAGTGAGCACCATAATGTTTATCAACATTATAAGAAAGTCAATAAAATCAGACTTTGGTACTGGCAAAGATTAATCAGATTAGTCTGAAGATCAAATAAAACAAAAGAAAAGTCCAGCTTATATTAACATGTTATGTATTATCTCCTTGGCAGGAATTGCTGAAAAATTTAATATTGAAAATGTACTTTCTTTGGTAAACATTTTTGTGGCCCTGAAAAGGGCCGTTTTTGATATTTCTACGCATCCATAGCGAGAGAAAATTACTTGGAGCTGGTGTACTTGGTGACAGCCTTGGTTCCCTCACTGACAGCGTGCTTGGCCAACTCTCCCGGCAGGAGCAAGCGTACGGCCGTTTGAATTTCCCGACTGGTAATGGTCGAGCGCTTGTTGTAGTGAGCCAGGCGAGAAGCCTCGGCAGCAATGCGCTCGAAGATATCATTCACAAAGCTGTTCATGATGCTCATCGCCTTCGACGAAATACCAGTATCAGGGTGGACCTGCTTCAGGACCTTGTAAATGTAGATGGCGTAGCTCTCCTTCCTCTTACGCTTCTTCTTCTTGTCGTTCTTGGTGATATTCTTCTGAGCCTTGCCAGCCTTCTTGGCTGCCTTTCCACTTGTTTTCGGCGGCATTTTCTCACTTCACAAACACAGTTCACTGGTTATAATGGGAGCCCAGTTCGTGCGTTCGTCTTATACTTTTTTTCGAACAAACTCTTCGGCCCAAGGCACAATCCACCCCTAAACGAACGCGCTGTCGGTCGAAAAAGTATAAATGTCTGGCCGCCAGCTGCCTGGCTCACAAACATTTGTTTCCCGTGTGAAAAGTGAATTTAGTGAGAAGTAAAGCAAAATGTCTGGTCGTGGAAAAGGTGGCAAAGTGAAGGGAAAGGCAAAGTCCCGCTCCAACCGTGCTGGTCTTCAGTTCCCAGTGGGCCGTATTCACCGTCTGCTTCGCAAGGGAAACTATGCCGAGCGTGTTGGTGCCGGCGCTCCAGTTTATCTGGCTGCCGTGATGGAATATCTGGCCGCTGAGGTTCTCGAGTTGGCTGGCAATGCAGCTCGTGACAACAAGAAGACTAGGATCATTCCGCGTCATCTGCAGCTGGCCATCCGCAACGACGAGGAGTTGAACAAACTGCTCTCTGGCGTAACCATTGCACAGGGTGGAGTGTTGCCCAACATCCAAGCTGTTCTGTTGCCCAAAAAGACCGAGAAGAAGGCTTAAACGTTCTAAAAACGAAGGAGAGCGACTTCGTCATGTACATAACAAAAACCCAACCGTCCTTTTCAGGACGACCAAGTTTTAAACAAAGAATTGTTAAGATTTTCAAATGCTTATAGAGATATTATAGAATAAGAATCAGTATTAGCTTTTGCCAATATATTTTTTTAATGTTTTTAACTCCGATTAAAATTGGAATACTTCGTTAACAGTGCCACGTGCAAGACTAACAAAAAAAAACTGATCCAAGGCTCTGTATTGTTAGTAATCGGTAATCATAGCGGAAACTGAATGCATTCGCAGTAGCGTTTAATTAAACATGGCAGTTCCTCAGTACAAGTCTGTAAGACACAAAAGCAGCAGCTGCGCTAAATAAAACAGATGTCTGCTTTCAGGCAACAATAATCAAACATTACATTTAAGAGTGCAGTTTAATATTTCCAATATTTTTGGAGCATTGGCTATATTAATATTAAAAAAAAATACATTTAACTAATAAAGACAGATATAATTGAAAATTCATCTCCTTTAAAATATGAATTTGTGGTCCTGAAAAGGACCGATTGCTTATTGATGTACAGGCTGCTGTACGATTTGTTTAACCGCCGAAACCGTACAGGGTGCGGCCTTGCCTTTTCAGGGCGTACACAACGTCCATGGCTGTGACCGTCTTCCTCTTGGCGTGTTCGGTGTAGGTAACTGCATCGCGGATAACGTTCTCCAAAAATACCTTTAGAACACCGCGTGTTTCCTCGTAAATAAGTCCAGATATGCGCTTCACTCCGCCACGACGAGCCAAACGGCGGATAGCAGGCTTTGTAATACCCTGGATGTTATCACGCAACACTTTGCGATGACGCTTTGCGCCACCTTTTCCTAAGCCTTTGCCTCCTTTGCCGCGACCAGTCATTTTTCACTACTCTTTACTGTTAACACTGCACGAAACGAAAGTCACTGAAGAACTGACTACAATTTCGACGTGCCCCTATTTATACCTAAACCCAGAAAATCAGAGCGGGTCCGAACGACATGTTGTCTTGCTCTTTGCTCGGCAAACGAGACGCCTTGTGTTTCCCTCTCGCTCTTTTGCTCTCTCGATCAGTTCAACCCTCCACGATTTGCTATATAAGTAGGTAGCAGACGCGCCGAAAGTTCACTGTGTTTTAGTTTCAGACGTGAAGTGAACAGAAGTGAATTGAAAGCGAAAACTGAAAATGGCTCGTACCAAGCAAACGGCTCGCAAATCGACTGGTGGCAAGGCGCCACGCAAACAACTGGCTACTAAAGCCGCTCGTAAGAGCGCCCCAGCCACCGGAGGCGTGAAGAAGCCTCATCGCTATCGCCCCGGAACTGTGGCCCTGCGTGAGATCCGCCGCTACCAGAAAAGTACCGAGCTGTTGATCCGCAAACTGCCTTTCCAGCGTCTGGTGCGTGAAATCGCTCAAGACTTCAAGACTGACTTGCGATTCCAGAGTTCGGCGGTGATGGCTCTACAGGAGGCTAGCGAAGCCTATTTGGTTGGTCTCTTTGAAGACACCAACTTGTGTGCCATTCATGCTAAGCGAGTCACAATTATGCCCAAGGACATTCAGTTGGCCCGTCGCATTCGCGGCGAGCGTGCTTAAGTTGAAACGGCTTCAAGTGGCAGCAATGCGCTTTTATTTGTACAAATCGGTCCTTTTCAGGACCACAAAAAGTACTCAATGAGATTAGATTTTCATTTTTTTTTATTATTAAAATTTATTGAGTATTTATTTAAATTGTTATTTTAATTATTGAATATTTTAAGGTTTACTTCCAAACACCTATCTTAAAAATGAATTTCATTTATTTTTTGATAACCAGCCTAAGGAAATGTTTTTTTTCAGTCTTAATATTTATCACGGTAAGGTAGCATAGAACAACAACGAACCACCTTGGGCTCTACACACCCTTAAAAACATCGAAAAACTGTTAAAAAACTTTCAGAAAATAACTCGAAAAAACATCAATAAGCTCTTTATTACTTAAACAAAACAAAAAAATATACAAAAATTATAAATTTTCTATTTAAAGGTGAAATGTTAATTCTTCACTGCAGTAAACAAGATTAGGTTTTGTTGAACAACCACGAACTACCGTGGATCTCAAACATCTTTGAAAAATCAAAATAAAAATTTTGAAAACCTACTGAAAAGTTAGTTTGTGAGGAGTTTATTTGTTAAACGAGATTAAAAATGCTAAAAATAAAAAAACTAATTTATATTTCATATTAATAGCGACACATAGTGTGTAGTAGCAAGTTGCAACTACATTGTACTTCAAACACCATTCAAAAATCGAAAAAGGGTAAAAACTTTATAAAAATCAGTCAGACAAGTTTATATTCGCTCTATTTGTTACATAAAACATAAAATGCTTTGGAAAATATTAAAATTAGATTTTATATGAAGAACTATAAAGAGAACATTTTTTGAAGTGGCACTATTGGTACACGAAACGTAACAGATTTTAAACCTCCTTAAAAAATCGAAAAACTTTTGAAAACCTTAAAGAAAAAATTCAGACATGTTAACGAGTCTTTTATATATTTAACAAACAAAAACTACAATGGAAACAGTTAAAATATTTTTTTTTTTTTATGTTAACTTGACAGTGACCCTAATCATGCCTTTGTATAGGATACAAGGGAGGCCATCTTGGATAAACCGTTTATAATAATGTTTTAAATCAAGTCTGTATTGAAGCATATTCATGATATATTGAAGATAAAAACAAATACCTTAACAATTTTAAAAGATTTATATTTTTTTAATTCCTATAACTATTGCCTGACGTATTCTCATAGACAACTTTTTATGTAGCATAAGGTCAAACTAAAACGTGTTATAAAATACCTTAACTTAAGAAATGTGGTTATTTGTTAATTGATTCTTAAAGTTAAAAGTTTAAATTTTCCTTTGTGTTATTTAATATTAATATATAAGAAAGAATTCAAATTAAAAACTATGTTTTTAAATAAAATGCTCATGTTACGTATGTTAATGTTCAAGTTCGAGCTGTAATAAAAATGCACTAAAACTAGACATTACAATTTTTACATTTCTAATTGCTTAATGGAATATTTGAGCATACAACAGAACAAAAACATTAATTGAATTTAAGACCTAAACGAACGAAATAAAAGAATTAAGTTTTTACTTCAAGCAAACATTAGCAGAGCAAATGACTGATTGGATACCCAGAGTTGAAGTGCTCTCCTCCTCGCTTCTCATTCGAACGAAGGAGGTCGGCAACAAACGCGCGCGCCATTTTCTAAGCAAAAAAGTGTATTTTAGTGAAGAAAAATGTCTGATTCTGCAGTTGCGACGTCCGCTTCCCCAGTGGCTGCCCCACCAGCGCCAGTTGAGAAGAAGGTGGCCGCCAAAAAGGCTTCTGGATCCACTGCCGCAAAGGCAAAGAAGGTCGCCGCGCCACCATCTCACCCACCAACACAGCAAATGGTAGACGCCTCTATCAAGAACTTGAAAGAACGTGGCGGCTCGTCTCTCCTTGCAATTAAGAAATATATCACTGCCACTTACAAATGCGATGCCCAGAAACTGGCTCCATTCATCAAAAAGTATTTGAAATCTGCCGTGGTCAACGGAAAACTGATCCAAACAAAAGGAAAAGGTGCGTCTGG